TATTTTAAATATTATATTTTCCTTTATAATCTTTATTTAAAAAAATGACATTCTTTTGTATTTAAATAAATATTTTTATCTTCTTTATACTCTTTATTTTGAACATAATTGTATTTTTCTATTTTTGATAAGATACTTAAATACTATTTATTTTTTATTTTTAATTATATCTATTTTTTAATTTGTTATTGTTTTTTTAAAATCTATAAAAAGTTTCATTTCTAATTAAAAAGAATTATTAACATTTCCTTTATATTGATTTGATTATATATAATTATTTTGATAATTAAAGGCTATTTACTTCTCTCTCTCTCTTTTTTTTTTTTAAAATACGACGTTAAACATTCAAACATATCATTTTCTTAACATTATTTTTCTATACTTTTGTTATTTTATTTCTTCTATCATCTTTGTTCTTTTAGATATTATTTGTGAAGTTCTAGTATGTCTCCATCTTAAGTGCATATGTTCCTTGTAAACTTTGAAAAACATAACTAATTAACTATACATAATATATGTTGTTGTAAAAGATAATATACTAAGTAAAATTATTTATTTTAATTTAATATATTTTTAAATATAATTAATAAGATTTCTTTAATTAAAATTATACTTAAATATATTTTTAGTCTTTATAAAATTAACAAGTTTTAATTTTAATTTTTATAATTCTTTTTTATTTTTCATCCTTATAAAATTAAAATTATTATTTTTAATCATTATTTTTATGTGATATTTTTTTAACTATTTTTATTTATTAAAAAATTAAGTAATCATCTTAAATGTTACATATAACTATTACTGATAAAATAAATATTATTTATCTATCTTAAAATTATCATTAGAGACTAAAAAATAATTAATTTAAATTATAAAGAGATGAAAATGAAAGAAAAGAAATATTTTACAATGATTAAAATTAAAATTTAATTATTTTACAAGAGTCAAAAATAATATTTAAAAATTAAAAAATATATTTTTTTTAAAAGGATCAAAATCAATATCAATTTTGTAAGAACTAAAAATATATTTAAATCTTCTCCTAAAAAAATATATTTAAATCTTAAAATTATTGTCATAAATATAATTTTTATTATATATAAACTGGTGTTTATCGAATATATATATATTTCAAAATTGACCTTGAGTCGGGCCTAATCTAATGGGCTGAATCCGAAAGCGAGCCTCGATGGCTATCATCTTGGACCACGAAAATGTCATAATGAGTGTCCCATTGTGCCTCGTTACCTCGTAGCACCCCTACCAAGAGAATGCCATAACTCTCCAACACATCTTCTCACTAAGGGTCTCATGCAGAGCCTATAAATACCAAGACCCCTTATATCAAATTGCATTGCTATAACCTACATTGATTAATGTACTTTATCTGATAATTTCATCCTAACTCACTGTTCAATTTAAATTTTATTTCACGTAAATCATATTTTAAAAAATTATATTAATCTAAAATTATTTAATACTTTATTTATATATAAAATTGATGAATAAATGTTTTTAAAATATAAAAAATGTCAAAATTTTTATTTCTTTCTTATTATTACATAATTTTGAAAAAAAAAATATAAAGTAATATAAAATTATAATTTAATTACGATAAAATATTTTTTTTATATTATAAAATTATTAATAATATAATATTTAGTGTTAATTATACCAATATAATTCAATCTATATCTGTATTCATTTTTAATTTTAAACTTTCACTTTTTTTTAGAAGAAACACACTGTTAACAATTTACAGCTCGAATTTGCTAAGATACTTCTAAAGGTGTAATTCGCCAATAAATTTGTTAAAAATATATATTAACAAACCCCAACTTGACCTAAAACAAGAGTTTCTAAAAGTATATAAATAAAAATGTCAACTTGACATTTAATATTCGCATAACAATTAATCATGTCAAATCAATTGAACCAATCAAAACTATTTTCAATAGTTGTATAACAATTATAATACCATATGTCTTGTATCACAGGTCGGTCTTACTCGAGTTTTTCGGTACAAGGGTAAACAGAAAAATTATCCCTATATAATTATTTAAATTTTACATATATCACTTCTCAATTTTTAAACTCAAAGGTATAAACAACATAACTAAATACACACTTACTAAGTTAAAATCCTTATAGACTAATTAATATAAAATGAAAAAATTAATAATGATGACATGTTATAAAAAAAACTCATTAAAATTAACAAACAGAAATTCGTGATTTAATAATTTTGAAATTCAAATGAAGCCTGAAAGGTCATGATTAATAGAATAAAAAGAAGATAAAGAAGTAAAAGAAATATATATATATATATATATATATATATATCACTTTTTTTTTTCCACATGTATAACCACAACTATAGGTAATTTTTAATTTTTTTTCTGTCTCTAAAATTGTAGATAATTTTTTGTCGAGAAATAAAAAAATCATCTATCAGTTGAGTACTAATTATCATATCTAATTTAATTTTTATAATATTTTATATAATTTAGTTATATATATTTATTTTAATATTTATGTATACTAAATTTTATTTTTTCTGTCTTCTAAAAATGGGGCCTGGGCGGCTACATAGTGCTCAGGCTGCCACTGCTGGTGGTATTCATTGATGGATGTTACTGCTATGCTACTGCTACTGCTACCACACCATATGTGTTGACTTTAATTAATAACTAGAATCAAAATGCATACGCATCCAGAATATTCTCCATTCATAAGATTAACTACAAAAGGGGATGCAAAAAGAGACACATCAAGCTAGAATAACTATTCCACTAAGCCGTCCAACCACTACTGATCATTTACAATAATCATCATATATATATTTATTAAACAATTCCAAATTGCCAATCAAATAACGTTGTCTTCATATGTGTACATCTGGAAACAAAAATTCTGCCCTTATTAATATATATAGTCAATGAATATAAACGTGAGCATGTGTAGTACCTTATACCGATGGACGACAATCTTGAAGTATATGAGCCACGAATTATTACGAGAAGGATTCCTGTTCATATCTGTCATTGTGGAAAATACTAATAGTTATCATCATCATTTAATTTCAGCCTCCTTTTGTTCATTATGGAAAACGACGACTTGCATAACGATTTTTTTTAATGGAAATGGAGTTGAGTATTATAATATATTCGCTTAGGATGCTTATCCATCCAGTTTTTTTTTTTCTTTTCTTTTCTTTTTTTTAAAGTTCCTCGTTTATTGTTCAATGTTTTTATTTGATTACTATTGAGCTCATGATGAATAAAATAAACACAAAAACAAAGCGTAGGGATTTTAAAATAAGGAAAAGAGAAAGGTATGGTGTTATAGTTAAGTCCTAAATTATTAATGTAGAGTTATCCAACCACTCTTGTGGACCATGGTCGGTGTGAGGACAGCTAGGAATGGCCACCCCTTCACAATCACATCGAATATATTTATGTAAATTCTTGTTATATAAACCTAAGCAAAGGTTTATGAGACAAAGCACCCTCACTAGTTAATAGCAAGATAGGTTTTGGTTTTGTAGTGAAGAGCCAAAATGGTGAAGATAGATCTTGGTAGCTTTAGTGACTCTTTTAGCGTTGCCTCTCTCAAGGCTTATTTCGCAGAGTTCCATGCCACTCTCATTTTCGTCTTCGCTGGTGTTGGATCAGCCATCGCTTACAGTAAGTGTTTTAGGATACAAATTTAATAATATCAACTAAATTAACCAACATCCTTATTTATAGTAAATTAGTAAACTAAGAGTTACTTCAAATACTTTTAAGAATTTTTCAACTAAAACTAAAAAGTTGTTTTCACTTAAAAAAAAAAAACTCTTAAAAATACTTAAAATTACCCAAATAAATTTAACTTTTATCAGAAGCATCTGGAAATAATATTTAACTTAGATATTTGAAACCAAGTCTCTTAACTCGGTAATATGAAACACGAGGGATCATATTCTCAAGTTTGATTTTTGTCGATATTAAAATAATGTTAGTCAACAAAAATTATCGGTTAGAAAAAGTTTTGGTGTTTGAATTATACATTAGTGAATCAAAAGTTGTGCACATGAAAATTTAAGCCTGTTAAGTGTTAACCACATAACGTTATGGATTCATGCATTATTTGTTAGTCTGCACGAAAAGTTTTTAACTAGTTGAAGTATATATAAAGGACATCACATGCTTTCTTCGATCCATGCATGGACATCGCAAACATGAGAATTTCGGGAATTTAAGTTGGTTTGCACGAGTCAACGAGAAGGGAGAGATGAGCACGCGCGTACGTGAAATTGCAATATAATTCTGGAAAAATCCATACTTACTCTTTCAAATTTTTTCAAACTATTATTACAATTATCGTTATAACTTTTTACAATAATTGAAGTCTCAAAACTAATAATTTCTATAAATGTGTAAAGTAAAAATTATGATTGCATCTATTGTTTATTTGAATTAAAGTACTTCATAATCTTAACTAACTTTAATCAACGAAGAACATACGTATTTACTTAATGCAGAGGAATCAAATCTGTAAATATTGATAATATGTTTAAAATTTATACAATGTGAAAAAAAAAGAATATGATATATAATACGAAAATTAGTTGTACATAAATATACACCTACCTCGCGTATTCTTTATTTATTGAAATTATAAAGATAACATGAGTTTCAATTTAAAATTTTATTTACTATTTTAATTTTTCACTGTTAAATAGACTCTAGTAGTTTACTTTTATGTATTCTATTTATATTAAAATAATTTTATTTCAACATGTTTTATTAATCAAGTAGTCCCATTAAATTTTAAATCATATACTTTTATGATTAATCTTCTTAATAAAAAAAATTATCTTGATCACCTTTAATAAATTTTCCTTTTTAATCATATATTTTCATTAACGAATTTCAAATCCAAAATCTTATTTAAAAAATCTGTGTTCGTTTCCATTTGAATTATCGACAAGTTACAACATTATTTAAAAAACTTGTCAAATATAATTTACTATATTTAAAATAATTAGTATGAACATGTTTAATTAGTTTATTAAAATTGATTTAATGCAACTAATGAAATCAGTATGATCAAACTAAATGACAATAATAGTTTCGTAGTTATCTCATTTACTATAAAATAAGTAATAAAGTGGTAAAAGTATCTATAAAAGAAGGAATAATATCATTTTTTGGTGATAGCCACATGTGTATATGCTGTCATGTCTAATAAAAAATTGTAATATTGGCACAAGAGTACAAGTAATGATGGAGTGATTATTTATGTATTATATAGACGAGCTGACGTCAGATGCAGCCTTGGATGCAACGGGCCTGGTGGCAGTAGCTGTGGCCCACGCATTGGCCCTATTTGTGGGAGTGGCCGTCGCAGCCAACATCTCAGGTGGCCATTTGAACCCAGCTGTCACATTTGGATTGGCTATTGGAGGCAACATCACCCTCCTAACCGGCTTCTTGTACTGGATTGCCCAATTGTTGGGTTCTATCGTCGCATCCCTCCTTCTCAGTTTGATCACCGCTAAGGTATTTGTATAAATCATATTTTAAGATGGTATTATAAATATTTTAAATGTTTTTAAAAAGATTACCTACTATTTTTATATGTATTAAGTACAATAGTATGAAATATGAAGAAGTGTATAAAATAACATTTTCTGATATGATATTGTTTTGGATATTGGCAGAGCATTCCAACCCACGGACTCGCTGCTGGTGTGAACGCTTTCCAAGGTGTAGTGTTTGAGATTATTGTTACATTTGGGTTGGTATACACTGTGTATGCAACTGCAGCTGACCCCAAAAAGGGCTCATTGGGCGTCATTGCACCCATTGCTATTGGGTTCATTGTGGGTGCCAACATCTTAGCTGCTGGCCCATTTAGCGGTGGTTCAATGAACCCGGCTCGCTCATTCGGCCCAGCTGTTGTTAGTGGAAACTTCGCTGATAACTGGATCTACTGGGTTGGCCCATTGATCGGAGGAGGCTTGGCTGGTTTGATTTATGGTGACGTCTTCATTGGTTCCCATACCTATGCCCCACCCTCTGAAACCTACCCTTAAAAATTTGAATTCAACTTCTTGTGTGTTCCATTGAAGCTTCATCTTTCTTCACCGTTTGCCGTCTCAAACCTCTTGCCTTTTTATTTTTAAACTGTACCTTATATTTTCTATGCACTGCTTGTAATAATTATGTAAATTATAAATTGAACTTAAAGCATGAATTGTTGGAAGGTCCCGTTGTTTTTCTGTGTTCGTCCTGACAATAATGACAGCGAGCTAGTATTTTCTTACAAGGTCAAACTAACCATGAGTTTTACAACTACGATCTCAAACATAACTGCAAACAACTTTTCCTCGGATCTGTAATCACAATCCTAAAGTTAGCAGTGTACAATGCAAATGATTTGTTCTGTTTCTTAAAGTTAAACCCTCCAATACCTTCGGCAGAATCAAAGTTCAAAGAGACTTTTTTAGGGGTATTAAGCATTGTAATATTTCAAGTAATGTTGCATGCACAACAAAAATTATATGTCATCACTTTTATAGCTAACTCACTTTATTTATTATGAAAAAAATATATTAATAATGAAAAAAATAAACACAAATAGTGTTGTACATACTCTAGTACTATTGTCCAACATGAAACGGTATAAGATATTAAGTCCTCCTGATCCTTGCTTGGTATTGTCGCATCATGTGATGCCCTCATATTTCCGTAAAGGCGGCCGCTACAACAGCATTAGGTTACATTTGCGGCCCACAATGAGCACACCAGGCCATGCAACCACAGTGATAGGCTACGTTTTTTCCTTCCGATATGTAGAACGCCATAAGAACTCCACACATATTCATCTGATCATCTATATTTGTTTTAAGTATCTGAAAATGTTTTATCTGGTCCGCACATTGTTCCATGTTTTATTTGCTTCTGTACAAAAAGGAGAATTTGAGCCCAACCCAACCCACCAGAATAACAGAAATTAGAAAGCCTCGAGCAGTCGAGTTTGATGACCAGCTAGAGTCCTCGATTCTATTCTAACTCCCTTGTCTATTTTTTTTAAGAAAAAAAAACACGTTAACAATAAAAGTAAGTCCATGCATGTTTAAATAAACTTCTTTGAAAACAGATCTAAGAAAACAAAAAGATTAAATTTCTTCTTAAGTTAAACTAACTTATGCATAAAATAAATTTAGCTCATTGATAACCTTATTTTATTTTTACTTCTTACTTTTCACTTTTTTCAGAAGAAATTTATCCAAACAAGTCCAATATTGCATGTCAAAGTAGGAAATAAAGTCCAAAATCCAATATGAAAACAATTATAATTAGATCAACATTTAAGTATGATTTAATACCGTTCTCAAATAAAATAACTCATCCAAAAGAACACTAAGGAACAAAATGTAATTTCCAGATAGTCAGAAAACTGACAACTTGGCCATGAAGATGTAGAGCAAACAATGAAGGAAACTAAAGGAGTAATAAAATTAAAAGCTGACAAGAGATATCTTTCAGGGCTTTAGAAAGTAGGATGTCAGCAAACCAGAACTCTACGTCAGCAATTTCTGACAAAATCTTCTGTTATCCACAAAAAATTCAACTTCCTCAATCACCAACAAAGCACGATAGAGATCAGGATAATCATACCACACATTCCTCGGTGGAGTGAGTACTATTGCAACCTATAAATGACAATCACATGAATGAGCAAGTTTGCATCCAGACAATAATATCATTAAAAACGAACTTTGACAAAAAAATTCAGAGGAAACTAATGCAATATCAAGGAGGCAATAATATTACGAGGTAATTACAGTAACACCCGAGGTTTACTGTAATTACACAGGCACCTCCTGAGGTTTATTGTTTGTTAAAGCAAAAACACGTGTACCCTGAGATATTAAAGCTATTACACATGCACCTCCTTACTTTACAAGGTCTATACATGTACCTCCTACGTTTTCCAAACATAACACTGATACAAAAATCAATAACGAAACTCAAAACAATTAACGAAACTCACTCAAAGAACGAAATGTGTACAAATGTTGGCCACAAATAATGAGTATATAGCTTCCTCCCGGTTATTTTGGTGGTGTCAAGGTTTTAAATGATAAAGGAAATTTTGTCCTTGAATTTTTCATTAAAAACCATGTGAATAACAAAATAAACAGAATTAACACCGTTTGCAAGGGAGAGGGTGCATCCATAACGGGGTAACAAAGATTAGGGGGTGCATGTGTAGCATAAAAAAAATAGGAAGGGATGCATCAGTAATACCAACAAACTTCAGGGGGTATTTGATGTAATTTGCTCTAATATTTTCGGTTATAACGAGAATGCCGACTTTCTAAATTACAGATAAATCTTCTATAGCATCTATAATAAATCTGTAAACGAAGTAATGTACCCACAAGATAATGTTAGACATCAGGAATACATAATTTCCAAGTTAATTTACTCAAGTTTCTCAGGAACTGCAATTCCTATTATGTGCATACATCATGAATAGATAATTTCCAAGTTAATTTACTCAGCTGGGCAGTAAAGTTATACAAATATATGACCCAATGAGACAAATAGAGGGGAATAAAAATAGAAAAAAGCATTTACACCTCACATCAGCCCAAATTTATTTTTTACAACACTTCATTTAGTAACAAATCCTTGTATATATATATATATCAAATAAAAATAAATTACATTTGCGTTTAGATGACAAAAAAAGAACAAAGTGGGAACTATGAACTTAGTTTAAGAAAGAGAAAATTCCAGAAACTCACCCCAGTAGCTACTGAGTTAAAAAGATGGCAGTTGGATTTCCAGGGGATGGAGGATTTTGATTTAATAAAGAAGCTAATGATCCAGCTCTGGCCAAGGAATCAGCATCTGCTGCAGATAAAATTTCCACATCTTCTAGACCTATCTGTCTCTTGATCAAGTCCAAGTTTTCCTTAAGAACCTCAATTTCACCAAATGGCAATCTCAAATCCAGGGCTTGAGCCCCAAGTGCAATTGCTTCCTCTTTCTTAAACCTCAAGAAAGGCATACAAAGCTTTTGGATTTGCTTAAAATTTGAAGATTGACCAACAGAACTCTTCTGTAAAGCCTCCAATATCTCAGAGTCTGGAGCAAAACTTCGAGTATCCCTGTTAAATTTGTTCTGAAGAATACTCAGGCACTCGGCTTTCCAACCATCAAACTGTTCATTTACATATATCAAGCCTGTCACCTTGTTTTCTGCTGGTGATGCAACTGGAGGAGCTTTCTTATTACCCTTCTTTGAGCCCGAAAGTTGCTTCTGAAGCAACTTCCTCATCAAAACAATTGAGTCCTGCAGATATTTGTTGGCACTCTTCAGTGTGAGATCAGGAGCTTCAGCTGTCGGCCAGCCTGCATTCACCACAAAACCATCCTTCTTCAGAAGCTCTCTCCAAATAAATTCTGCATAATGCGGACAGATGGGTGCTATTAGACGTGTCTGCACATCCATAAAACGCCACACCAAGTCACGATTATAACCTCCAACCCCACATGAGAACCTATACTCATCCCTAGCAGTCTGAAGATCATAAAAGCCACTCTTGAGAGCTTCTCGAAACATGTAGTTGGAGTAATTTTGCTCAGTTGTCTTGACAGCAATATTAATCTCATTGGCAAACACACGATCAGCATAAGTAGATGGGGGACCAGTTCTCATGGAAGATTCTGCTGCCAGATTATCCTCATACCATGCAATCTCTTTGGTAAGCCGAAGAATTGCAGCATTTGCAGTCTCAAAGACAAAATTTGCATCATCAACACCATCACCAGCATCAGCCAAAGAGAACCGAGTAGCATCGGCAGAGAACTCCTCAATTGCCTGACGTAACGTCCTGAAATTTCCAGTGGACTTGGACATCTTCTCAGAATTGAGCATTATGTGTCCATTGCATCTAAACCCACGAGGCCAGTGATGCTTGGCCATAATTGCAGTATGGTTGTAAATGCAGAAGGTAAGATGATTCTGGATGAGATCCTTACCAGATACTCGAAGATCAAATGGATACCAATACTCAAATTCCCGCTTCATTCTGTCTAAAAGGGATGATGAAATATCGGTTGACTTGGGATATGGCCCACCACAGAAAATATATTCCCAGACATCATGGGTCAGTTGTTGAGGTTTGATGGAAGACTCACTGGATCCATACATGTCACCATTCTGCAAATGGTGTGCTACAGTGTAATAGGCCATGTAAATGGTGGAATCAGATAAAGACTCCACCAGGAACTGTTCATCCCATGGTATGCGTGTCCCAAGGCCAAATGATCGCGAGCAAGCCCACTGGTTCAACCAGCCTAACGTGTGCTCAAATCCATGTTGTGTCTCATCAGAATACAGGCTCATGTTAGAAAGGCACTCCTCAGCTAACTTCCTCCATTCTGATTCTCCATATGTAATGTACCACTGATCCGTAAGGGCTACAACACATTCATCACCAGATCTTGACATCACCCGTTTCTCTGGCTCACTGTAGACAATAGCCTGACCTGGAAGTGTGGAACCAAAAAATTTAGCAATTGCCGCAAGATGACAAAGGACAATATAGGCACACAAATTAAAAAAAAAAATTATCAAGAATTTACAATTACATATAAAAATACAAATAATAAACAGTTTAATTTTGATTCATTATTATTGCAGTTTAATATTATCCCTATATAACCTAAACTCAAAGATTGTTGCATCACGTAGGAAGTTGTAGCCAATCTTTATAAATTATGAGTTATACAAGTAAAACAATAATAATAGACTATATATATATATATATATATAAAGTGTGAAAGCGAATGCCGACCTGTTTCCAAAAGCTTGTTCCTAATCAAGGGTTTAGCTTCCTGAACTTTTCTACCAGCAAATTCCCCAACAATCATCGTCCCTTCAGTGAATCCTTTCAAGTACGTTTGCTTCTTGGCTTCTGCAAGCTTTTCCTTATCATTCTGGCTTTTGATTTTCATCTGCAAGCAAACGGTCTCGGCACACTTATTCCCAAACTGCGGAATATCAATGATGGGCACAATCTCAAACGGCATCACCCATTCATCCTTAACCCCATACTTCTCCCTGAACGCGGGTTTTGCCTTCAAATCATGCAAGGCCATGTAGTCATCAGGAGCATCACTAGGCACACTGGTGACAACCCCAGTACCCTTATCCATCAAAATAGACAACATGGGAAGCGCATAAATAACCTCATTGACGGAAAGAGGAGACTTCAATGGAAGTCCAATCAAGTCACGGCCAGTGAGCTCAAGCAAGCAAGAGGGTTTTTCCGGAACCCGCGAGTGGTTCTGGTAGGCAAGGTTAAGAGCCGCTCTATGAGCAACAACGAACACCTCACTCTCATTGATTTCAAAAGCCCCATACTTACCATCCGGCAATACCCAAGCATTGGTTTGACCATACATAGTCTCAGGTCTCAAAGTTGCAGCAGCAAGAAACACCTTCCTTCCCTCCAAAACCTTAAGCTTCTCAGGAAAAGGAGCAACCAACTCCATCTTGATAATAGTATACTCTTGCGGCTGAACTCCCTCACCACTAGCCCTATCATGATCAGCACAAGGTTGACCATCCAAAGGAGAGAAAACAGTATACCTCACATCCTTCACAACCTTCCCCATGGACTTCAACTTCCTCATCTGCCACCTCACAAAGGAATCAAAATAAGGGTTCATATCAGTAGTAATAAACGACCTCCTCCAATCACAACCCAATCCAAAAGCCTTAAGGTCCTCCACAGCCAAAGGTGGAAAGTAAGAAAGCCACTTATAAGGATCCTGAAATTTCGAAATCTCAGCATCGGAAATCCCCACACTACGCAAAATCTCCCACTGGTAAACCTGCCCCGTTGACTTCGAAGCAACCTTTGACTTCTTTCCCTTGAATTTATCCGGAGCGGCGTTGGAAGCTTCTTGTTCCTGTTCCTCTGGTTGCTGTTGTTGTTGCTCTTCTTTTTCGCCGGGGAACACCGGCGGGTCGCCGAATTGGGCGATTTCGCGGGCGAGTTTGTCAGCGGAGGCTTTAATCGGCATGCCGGTGCAGTGGAAGGCAAAGGGGAGTAGGACGTTGGCGCCGCGGAGGCGGTGGAAGGCGGCGGCGAACTCAAGTTTGGAGAGGGAGAAGGCGTGGCCGAGGTGGAGGTAACCGTTCATGTAAGGAAAGGGAAAGTTACCGAAGAATTTCTCCCCCGGCGAGGGAGGTTTCTCGCCGGGCTCAGCGCGGAAAACCTCTTTCTCTTCCCACCATTTCTGGACCTTCGACTCGATCTCGCGGAGGCGGTCCCGGCGCGCGAAGCTCTTGCCGCCTTCGCTCGCCATTTCCGTCACGTGGTGGCGGAAGCTGCAACGAAAGTAAGGGTTTCAGATCGTGAAATGAAAACGAGGAAATGGAAAGAGGAGAATAGAGTTAAGACGACGACGTTTTGGGATGGCTGTGGATTGGTGTGAAGAAGGAAATGAGGGATAGGGAGAGAACCTGTGTGGTGATGAAGTTTGGAAGCGGAGAAGAGAGTGCCCGAGGCGAGACTGCGTGCGGTGAAGCAACAACATACAGAGGAAAAAACCTGGCGCGGGATAGAGATGAAAAGCGAGGGTTTTGCTTGCTCGGGTTCCTCGGCCCATTTCTTTGGGCTTACAGGCCCATTTATTTTATTAGGGCTTGCTTTAAGATACAATAGGATGGATGATTGCCCCTGTTCCTGTATATTACTACTGAACAATTTGTATAATTATTTATTATTTTTATATGCAAAATATTTATTATGATCAAGTTATTTTTGATAAATAAATCAATAATTATTAAACTTTCCTAATGAAATCAATTAAAATAGAATAAAGGAAAATAAAGAAACAAAGAAATAAACTCAGAAAAATATATTGATAAAAAAATCAAAATAATGTATCAACGTTCTTTTTTTTTACATATCTCAACATCTCTTAACACAAAGAAATATTATTTATATTGTTATAAATTTAATGATACTTTAATAATTTTGAAATTGAAAGGTGATAAATTTATTTTGAAATGTACGTTTTGTCTATTTTTATGGGCTTTTAACAGCAATACCATTCTCTTTATTAAGAGAATAAAAAGCAGTAAAGTCATTACCCCTAAAATGTTACTCCGTATAATTTATGTGCTCTTTTAATCATGTTAATAATAGTTATGTATATTTACGTAGTCATTAAAAAAAGTTATATCTATTTAGTTTTTAACGTTTTTTTAATTATTAAATTGAACTCTTAACCCAGAATTTGATTTATTAATTAAAAGAAATATGATATTCCCTGATATATTGCCTTTGAAATTTTAGGAACTAATGTGATAAAGTTTACCACAATCAAACTGTCAGTTTACTATTTTTTTTAAGTATTTTAACAATTATCATCTTCCAGCTGTCAAAAAAAAACAATTATCATCTTTCATGTATTAAAACCTCTAAAATATGAAGATCAATTCAAGTCCATACACATATTGAATAGTAAGATAGTAAGAAATAAAGTTGACTGTGCATGCATACCCCATTGTTTTAGACCACACATGTATATTTTAGGAAACAAATTTTCAATTGTTTTAGACCAAGCGTACATAGCCCATAGAATTCTCTTTCCTTTAGATTCAGACCACGTATATCTTTTCCAAGTATTCCTGGTACGTACAAACAAAGCAAACACACGACAAGCACAAACCCACCAAATAGATTAACTTTGAGAAAGCCAAATGAAAAATGGGCATCCCCCGAAGACTGTGTTCTAGTTTGAACCTCTTCCAAGTTGTCAGATTTGGCAGCAAGAAAAAAAGTTACAGTTCTCTTCATCCCCCAAACCCATCGTGTTCCAATTCCTTCCTCACTCATGGAATCCACGTGTTTCAATGCCCCGTAACCCAATGTTCCAATTTCTACGTTATTTATTTTATACTATTATTCCCATTTCCCATACAATTTCAACTTAATTGGTTTTATGTAGGACACTGTTGGAATTGTAGCCAAGCTATCGGATTGCATTGCCTCTCGTGGTGGCAACATTCTCGCTGCTGATGTTTTTGTGCCTCAAAATAAACGAGTCTTCTACTCTAGAAAGTACTCTAAATATACTCTTTTATATGCATAAAGTGTATTGAACACACAAAATCCAATTTCTTTGTCTTGTTCAACATTCGCAGTGTTTTTGTTTTTGACCCTGTTGTGTGGCCTCGAATGCAAATGGAGGAGGATTTTCTGAGGCTCTCTAAAACATTCAATGCCATGAGATCTGTTATAAGGGTTCCAGCTCTGGATCCTAAATATAAGATTGCTATTGTCGCGTCAAAGCAGGTATACATCAATGTTCTTCTGCTGTTAATCTTTTTAATATATACGTATGTATCGTGTTACATGTATGTAATGCAATGTGTGTTAGAATAAAGGGTTTTTTTTTATGTTGTTGCAGGACCACTGTCTGATTGATTTGTTACATGGATGGCAGGACGGAAGACTCTCAGTGGATATTACTTGTGTAATTAGGTTGAATTTCAGAAACTACGTGACTAAATTGATTTGTCTTTTTAATTTATTTATGAGGTTAATTTCTATGTAACATTCTCATTATATAAAAAATTACACCGTTAACTAATAAAAATTATCATAGGAGTGACTTGTAAGGTATCAATGACTTACCATACATAATACTTATGATAAGATGATAGTCTAAAATTTATATGCCCTAAACATACTCTTTTTACTCTATTTATTTTTAAGCTCTTTCAATCCTTAGTTATTGACTTACTTGGTACATTCAACAGTAACCATTTCAGAGGTCCAGAAAGCGAGGTGATTCGTTTTCTTGAAATGCACGGTGTTCCTTATCATTACTTAAGACCAACAGAGAATAAAAGTGAACCGGAGATCCTAAAGCTGGTTCAGAATACTGATTTCTTAGTACTTGCGAGGTATACTCGGGTAAATAACTTGATGGAATTATGTTTATTACTGTTCCAATACATAACAGGTTCTGGTAATTGGTTTTTTACTCTTGAAATTAGGAGGATTTTTCTCAGAGCTCTTCTCTGCCCCTATAAGTTTTACTTAAGATTATCATTTATAGTATATGTTATGTTACTGTTTGATTGAAAGGAACATCAGTTTTTTTTTTCGTTCCTTTTTATTGGTTTATTTTTGCAGATACTATCAAGCACCTTTTTAAGGAGTTATGGGAAGGATATAATTAACATCCACCATGGTCTGTTGCCATCATTTAGTGGTATCAATCCATCTAAACAGGTGACATTTCATTGGTTAGACTATGTACTTATCATGCTTTCTTCCTATCTTGTGTGTTTAATATGATTGGTTATCTTTGCAGGCCGTTGATGCAGGTGTGAAATTAATCGGCGCAACAAGTCACTTTGTGACTGAAGAACATAATGCTGGACCTATTATTGAACAAATGGTGAGCATAAATATTTAAAGTACTTGTTTATCTTTTGCCTACATTTTAGTCAATTAGTTGCTTCCGCTATTAAATGATTATGTTGAATTTGGTCTGAATGGGTTATAGGTTGTTGTCATTTGTTTATGGGGTGTTTTACTTGGCTTTTAAGCTCTATTTGCCTGGTCTGCCTTCAGAATTCATTTCGGATACATGCCGCTACCTAGAATTATGACAGCCATTAAGATGGAATGAACAAATTATAAGTTGCCACTGGTGTGATATATGATATGTGCCAGTTGGTCTTTTTTCTTGTTTATTACGAATCTCCTTTTACAATCTTTTTTCCTGATGTTTGTAAACTCTTTTCATGATTGTATTAGGTTGTGGTAAAAAAATGTACATTGTACTAGCTTAGTCTCAAAGTTAACTTTAGTTTTAAAGTCAGAGTAAATAGTTTATATACAGACAACAATTTAGAGTTTCTTTTATCATTATTCAATCACAAATCATCACATTTGTTATATGTTTGTTCGCTTTTATGATAATTACTTTATAGTCATACTTATTATAATTTCTGATTAGTTAACTTTTTCGTTGGTGGTGCGTAAAAATCAAATTCTTTATACTCATGCAAAATTTGATTTATGCTCTGAAGATGAATTTCCTTACAGATTTTCATGTAATTGTGATGTCTTATTCTAAAAAGAGAACATTCACATTTACTTTGTGCTAAGATTCATAGGTTAGCATTGATCCCATTAAGTATATCACACTTTATTTGACTATTGGAAGCAGTAAAATAACATTCATAAATTAAGCAGAGGCGTGATTTATTTTATAATTAACTGATGGCTTTAAGTATGCCCTGGCCCCATTTTTTCTCTGAATTGTAGGTTGAAAGAGTTTGCCATAGAGATAACTTGCAGAGCTTTGTGCAGAAATCACAGAACCTTGAAAAACAATGCCTGTCAAGCGCTATCAGATCTTATTGTGAACTTCGAGTATTGCCATATGAAGAAAAGAAAACTGTCGTATTTTGAGGACAAACACCAATTATATACTATACAAAGGGTGAATCTCTATAAGTGGATACAATTTTTTACTTGGAAAGCCCGCATTATATATATTCCACTTCAGTTGCAAGAATGAGGATGTATAAGAGGAAAATACTAAAAAAAAAAAAAAAAAAAGCTTTAAACACATAAAAAGTATAAAGTTTCTATCTTCTGATTGTGTGCTAATTGCTATCATACACAGGTATCGCAATGGGTATTAGAGTATTATTTTTTATATTCACATTTTAGATAGAAATTTGACTTGAAACTTATGCCCATGCATATAGTAATTTTAAGAAAAAAAAAAAAAAAAAAAAAAAAAAAAGCTTTAAACACATAAAAAGTATAAAGTTTCTATCTTCTGATTGTGTGCTAATTGCTATCATACACAGGTATCGCAATGGGTATTAGAGTATTATTTTTTATATTCACATTTTAGATAGAAATTTGACTTGAAACTTATGCCCATGCATATAGTAATTTTAATGTTCATATTCAATTTAATGAAATGTTTGTTATTATAATATGTAAACCTACATTCGTGAATTTTTTGTATAGTAATTACCTAAATCTGAATTTAACGCGGTTCACTTGAACATTTGTAAATTTATTCTAGAAAAGTGAATTTGGAGATTCTCATATCAAATACAAATTAAAAAAACTCCAATGAAAATTTTTAAAAAGTGATATTATCATGTCATTGTTATATTTTTATTTGCACAATAAAAACGTCAGTATAATTTATTTCTCACATGAGTGCTAGAATTTGAAAGTCGTGATATAACAAAATTAGGTTGTGACTGGTTATTGTTGCAAAGTTTTAGAGTACTTGTTTTTATGTTTTAATGTATGAAATGCAAAAGCAATAATGTTATTGTTTTGACTTTTGAGGTTAATGTGAGTAAGAATATCTATCGTTTTTGTCAAAAATTAATCTCTGTCAAAACTTTAATTACATTAAAGTTATTCATCTCAACGTCATTTTATAATTAAATTCAAGATTTGAACTCGAAGCATAGCGTTGAATTTCACTTTTATATAAACACTTACTAATTTTCACTTCCACTTTTTATTATTATTGTTTAAAATTCAAAATATTTTTTGGAATATAATTTTTAACTTAACATATTTCTTTAAAATACTGTGTAATAACATTCCTTTCATTTCTTAAAAGTTTCCTTTTTAATTTTGGCAAATTTTGGAGAGAAACTAAGTAAACCTTTATATATCATGGAAACAAAAATATAAACAATAAATTACTTTGAAGAGATAATATATAACTTTTCTTTTTCAACACTTAAAAGACTTTTTTTTAGTTTAAGGTAATACTTTCGATAAACCTTTTAAGGAAAACAAGAGGAAGATAAAAGAATGAGAAAAGGGTGGAAGGTCAAAGTTGCAAACTCTGAATTCGTGTCCCTCACTCCTTCAACTAAATTAAATAAACTCATTCCAGGAAGAACACTCCACTTTAACATTGAAGATTACAAATTAAATTTTCAGTAGTGTTTTTTTAATAAATACAAAAAAAAAGAGGAGGAGAAGAGGCTACTCCATTGAGAATTTAATTAGTAGTACTTGAAAACATTTGTCATTCTAGACATAATAAAACTGTATTAACATAAATTAATGTGATCATATAATAATGATGATTTAAGTGATTTTATTTTCATAGAGTAACACGGTGTAGTTTTGGATATTTGTTCTCTTTTCTCTTTATAAAATAATTACAATAAAATAAGCTATTCTCGTTGAATTAAATAAAAGAAAACCTTGATATTGGATGCAGTAATTTTTATATCTTAACACTGATTTTAGGCTTATTAATTTGTATTACTATTAACAAAGATGGTCAAAGCAACCCCTGCAGTGAACAATTTTGTTTCTTTGCTTCTGTAATGCAGAGGCAGCATTTGTTTGGCAAAATTTTGTATGTTCCACTCTTCTAGAACCTAGAGGCATATACAATCATGTACTGGTACTAATACTTAAAAATTCAAGAGAATGCTCTGTTGCTTCAACAGAGTTGACTCTTCGAAGTAAAAACTCAATCCCTTCAACCCATTTTTGCTTGTGGAGTTTGTTCTGGCACTTAAATTCCAGAAGACCTTGTGCAGTTTTGAGGCCAAAATAAAGCTCTTCTGACGCTTCCCTTTCTTTTCTATATGGCCATGCATTATCTTTATCACAGACTCCATACACCACACCTGTTACAGAATATGTTACACAGAATTAGAGAATAGCAATAACTATCAGAAATAAATAATTTGGAGCCAAAAGAAAAGAACGGAACATATGTTCCTAAATTTGCAAAAGATTAACTACATTGTTAAGAGTAAATTTACAAAAGAAGATAGGTGCATGTTGCACGCTTGTTAATGTTAAAAAGGCTCACATTTATTCTTTTTGGAGAAGGCTCCTCCAACGTGCTTGCTTTTGATCTTAATTTTGACCTGAAAAATACGAGAAATCAAATTGTAATCTATGAGAAAGAACCCACCACCGAATGAAAAAAAAAATAAAAAAAATGTTGTTCGGCCAGGATTAGTTACCTGACACTTCTTGATATAAACATGAACATGTTTCCATCGTATAGCACCTGGAGAAAGTACAACATTGATCATATTAGTTCATTTATTCATGATTTTAAGGATTAAAACGTTTGTCATTAAACTTAAAGTAACAAATTTAATAAACAGTCCAATCCAATGTTATGAATGGAATCCATATGATCCTAATCGATTACCTTTTTCTGTGAGCTGCAACAAATCCCCCAGACAGGGAGGATGACGTTCCAACATGTGACCATCAACCGCACGAAGCCAATGCGTTTCCGCTACCACCTTATCATAGGGACTTATAGAAGCATTTTTCTTTGCTTCTTTTGGCAACCTCGCTGTCAGAGCTGCTTCTGCTCGCAAAGCTGATACATAATGCAACCATCAATCATCAATACATAAAAGCTATTTTGATCAATTTTAAGTCTCCAAACAAGGCATTAGACTGAGCAAATACCGGTCGCAGCTGCAGCGGTGAGAGTCATTAGATCGCCGGGGGTCTGAATATCGACGGCGGACCTGACGGTGGACGCCACGCGCTCGCGATCCGCGCCGGCTAACTCCGCCATTTCAACGCAATAAGACGCCAAGAGTTGCGTGGCCGAAGCGAGAGCGACGTCGAATTTGGAACGAGAGCCACCGCCAGGGTCCTCCGTCGCGGCCACACCAGCCACCGCAGAGGCTAGCCCCGCAATGGACAGCGCCGCATGCACACGCGCGTTTTCCACTCGCGCCCGATCTTTCTTCTTTACGGAAACGCTCGTGTTGCTCTGCTGCTTCTGATGTAACCATTTTCCAATCGCACCCATCCTTCGACAATTACCAGATGCTATCATCTTCCCTGTCCCTCCCTGCGAAAACATCACCTAAACATTACAACTTCCACGTAACAATCACGTACTCATAACTCAAAATTACAACTTACAGTGATTCATTAAGCTAGAATAAACATTATTATGTTAAACCAAATATAGGACAAAACTTATGTTACTAAGATATAGTTAGTATTTTCTTATTCAAACTTTAATTCATTAATATACATTTACATTCATCGGTACTCAAATAATTATAATAGTATATTTGAAGAATTTTGTTAAGGGGGTGGCTTACTGTGAATTGAGGTGCGGAAATAGGTTGTGGCAATGTGTCTTGGGCCTTATCGAGGAAAATTTGTTTTTGTTTGTCTGAGAGAGCCTTTGAGATTTCGGAGGCAGAGAGACTCCATGACCTAGATAAGAACTCCATGGGTTCACGTGGTGTCGGTGGCTCAGCCAAGGGTGGCAAAGATGACACCGCTTTCAATTCCTCCGCATCATCTGAACCTAACTCCTGCTGCCAAGACCCCTTTTTCCAAGGTGGAACCGCAAAGAAACCACCTTCCATTTTTGCTTCTGTAAATAAATGCGCAAATCCAATTACAACAAATTAACATCAAAACCAGATTATTTGATAAAAAAAGAATTATGGAGAAGAAAGTCAGAAATTAACCTGCGTTGTCACTGGCTTGAAAATGGATTAGAATCCAAGTCTCGTGCTTTGAAGTTTGAACCACCACAAATTCAGGTGGAAGTAGATTAAACGAAAAACGAAGACAGTAGTCCAGTATTTACTGAGGTCGAAATGTGAATATTAAGAAAACAGAATCCTGGAGAAGCGGGTATTGGTTAGTGCAGAGCACTGTTGTGGATAACGGAAATATTATTGATGATTTAGAAAAAGTACGGCGATGGTGTCAGAAGCAATGGTGAAGAATACATTATACATATAGAAGAGTGATGTGTCATTTTAGAACGTGGATTTAATTAACGCGTTATGTACGTACTTTGGGTTGTTGGAGATTGGAATAAAATGAGTGTAGTGTAAGACTAGCTAGTCAATGACGGTGAAGGTCGGTGTTGTCACATTCCTCGTTCCTAGCTCTCTTTGGCTAACAAGTCATCAATGGATACAGGGCTCATTGACCAATTTGGCTCATTTTTCCAAATTATTTAGGTAAAAGAGATTATTTTAAAATTATGTATACCTTTAGAGTATTTTTTAGCGGTGTCGCGTGAATTTTTTTAACTCTAAAAAAGCCATAAAGTTGGTATAGTTTATAGCGTCACATTTTTAATATAAAATAAAAATTTTAAAAAAAATATAAGTAAATAGTTTAAAAAAAACGAAAAAGGAAGTCGGTATAGTCTATAACGACATAATATGTTATAGGTCATAGCGTCACTTATTTAAATATTAAAATACATAAAATTAAAAAAATATATATATATATAAAATAAATAAATTACAGAGAAGATAAATATAAAAATATAAATTTATATTAAATTCATAATATAAATTAAATTTTGAAAAACAGAAATTAAGTTAATAATTAAAAAAAATAATTTACTGGAATTAAATAATTTTTTGTAAAATAATTTACTGGAATGTTGAGTATATAATAATTTTTAACAGATATATTTTATTTTAAAATTGTGTATAGTGTATAATAAAAAATGAAAAAAATAAATTTTTTCTACGGATAGAATTTATTTATATAAATGGAAATAATAAAAAACACAAAAAAAATGAATTAGAAAATAATTTTTAGAAAAAAAACTAGTACAATAAATCTGGAGAAAAAAAAAAGACCCAATAACCCAAAAAAACGAAAATTTTGAAAAAAAAAAAGCTGGTGTCGTTACGGGCCATAGCGACACAAAG